TCAATCGGCTTCGTTTATTTTTATTCACATCATTCATGTAGCAAGTTTTGGAAAACGATCAGCTATAGTGTTGAAATAATTCATTATAATAAATAAATAATGTACATAGGTGTCATGACCCTTGTTCTGTTTCCTTTTCCACTGGATGTACTGTAAAATATAAACATGTATTGTAAACAATATATAAACTGAATACTGTTAAAAACTAAAGAAGAGTTTCATGAAATGGTTGTCATAATAAATTCTAGCTACACCGATACGGCTGACCGATAGTCCTCTGGCCAGCAGAGCCACTAACTTGTAATGAATATGATCGCTAGAAGGACTAAAGCAGGAACCAAATGATGTAAGTCGATGTAGAAGTAAACATTTGCTTCGTTGTATTAAGTTATACCAAAGCTAAACATGAGAATCATTTACATTGGTGTTCCGAAACATATAGAGAAATACAGTAAAGGTGGAAATATGACAGTGAAACCGTTTATATCGTTTCAACCTTTAAAATATCAATACTAGGGATTTTCAATAATTATCAAACCACCTGAAATAAGAATCTTTTATCATATTGACGATAAAGTAATAAAGACGTCAGCATTTCACCCATGATATCATAGCTGATATGAGTATGTTTAGGGCTCTCAAGTAGCCATACCTTTTAACCAAGTAGCGTGCAACACCATTGAAGATAAGTGGGGGGTTTTGTGTGTTTTCCGTGATGGTTATAAATGTGCAGGACAGTAATGAAACATTTTAAAGAAACAAATACTTTATGATAATAAGTTTTGTCAACTAGGTCATTTAAATCAGCAAATTATTTTGGCAGGTTTTCATAAAATGAGGGATAATTAAGAAGGAAATGATATCTACAAGAAAACTTTACGCGGAGGTCACTCAAAATCTCACTAAACTTCCTAGGGTTTGTTTTCCTGCCACCACACATAAAAGCCGGTCTATAAGAATATCGCTCCCTTTCTCAATTTCTCTAAAAGGAAGATAAAAGTCATTGCTTTTAGATAGCGTTATGTCCTCTGTGTAGTTGTACAGAATCTATTCCTTTCCAAATAAAAATATATTAATTACATAATTTATGGCTAGAAATAGTAACAAATCCAAAATATTCAGATACAATATTACACCACTACGGAAGTACTGATGACACGGAAGTGCTTGATGGTCAGACGGCGCCGGACACGTGGTAGCATGCCGGTCAGTATAAATAGCAGGTGGACAACTGAGAGGTCATTCATCCGACCTCCTCGGCAGTGTCAAGGTAAGTCAATATATATCCAATCTTATATCTAAAACATTTTTATTTTGATTCTTGATTCGAACTTATAACATTCTAAAACATTTAAGGACGTTTTTATTCATTTTTGTTAACAGATGTTACTTTAAAACGTGACCTAAATAGAAATATTTGTTATGTTAGAAAGACATCTGTACCATATTCAGTAGTCAAACTTTTATCAGTGGTATGCTAACAAAATATTTACTTTATATTAAATTTGTGAGCTAATCATTTAGATCCAAGACTCCATAAAACAAATTGTTGTAGGTAGTAAAATAAACTTATTTCAACTGTTCTTTAAATGAACATGATAAAATCATAAATATAACTAATAACTTAAACGTCGTCTTACTTACCAGCTATATTGGACAGACATTTTGTCTATAAATAAAAAGCAATTACCATTCATGTTATACCAATAATGAACAGAAGTAAAAGAAATATTTTGTGAAGAGTAAATATAACTCCATTGTTTGCAGAATCCTCGCTCGCCCCGCCCACCAATCACCATGAACAAGTCTCTGATGCTAGTGTTGATCCCCTGTCTGGTGGCTTACGTCATGGCCCAGTATTACCAGCCTGGATACGGTGGTATGGCTGGATACGGTGGTGGGTACGGGCCTGGAACCTACTACAACTACGCTGCGCAGAGCGCCCAAGGAGCAAAGACAAGCAACTTGTTGAACTATGGTAAGGATTTTATGGCATCTGTTTTAATTTCAAACTATTCTACCAACACAGGTTTTCTCAATCAAAATTTACACATCCGGTGAAATTTAACTGGTACTTAACTTTAAACTTAAAATGATAACTTAATATAGAAAAATCATTTTTAATGCGGAACGTAATATTTCTATGCAGAATGTTAAAAAGTAAAAGGAAACCCTGAAGTACATAAACGAAACATTATAACTAATCTTCGCATTCCAGTTGAGAATTGATTGATTTTCAAATAATGTAATTGTCACAATCTAATTAAAACTATATCTTCACATCGCTCCCGTTTACTGATATGTCGCGTTGAAGATCTAACAACATCCCGTAGAGGGTCATGTTCAGGCGACCTTTGCATTAACCAATCAGATGAGAGCTTACGCATTTCTGTAAGTGATGATGTAATGATTTCGGAACACACTTGCTATGATAAAAGACCGAGAGGTGTCAAATGAGCATCGAAAATGGCGGCGCCCATGACACCACGCCGTGTCTATCTACACGACAACGTTTGTACAATTTGTGGATTTTGCTTTGAAATAAGAGAGACTTCCTTTTCTGGTGATGTTGTCGTTAAAATGTTTAACAACCTGAAACTTAAATTAACCAATGACAGGCTTCGCAATATTCAAACTATCACTGGACCAGACGAAAAAGTGGATTTTGGGCTACGAGGTGTCTGCATTAAATGCTACAGTCCTGCTTTCTGATTGGTTGAAAGAAAGAGTTATGTCGCGTTTTGATTGGCTTGTTATAAATACGATAATGCATTCATGTTGACCTCTGACGTGACCCTTTATGGAATGTTGTTAGATCTTCAACGCGATAATCAGTAAACGGGAGCGATGAGAAGATATAATTTTAATTAGATTGTAATTGTCACTAATGAAAATTAATGCAAAAATTGGCGTTTTGGACAAACATACAGGGATACATTATAAATGCTGAAACAATCACAAATATATCCTAGAATGTAAATAAGGGATGTTGTAAGCATAATCTTTAACAAAAAGTTCTCAAAAGCATTACATTATATCATGATATCACCTAATCCACATAAGAGGTGACAGAAAAAGCTTTAACTTCTCTTCATATATCACTGTTACTTCACGTTAAAAAACAAATGTCTTCTGCTCCAGGCCTTCTCTTCTTCGCCATCCTCATCCTGACAAATGCCACTGGAAGTATCACTGGTTAAACGTAGTTAACAGAAGCTTACATGCACCTTCACAAGAAATCAAATGGTAAGTCTCTTGAACACCTGATATGGCTGGTGTTTTTTTCTAAACGCTTGGTATAGCTGATGTTTATGCACATATGTGGCTCATCCTGACAAACCCAAAACAAGAGTTTGTCTGTAAGGTGGAAAATGCCTTTGCTTCCTAAAATACATTATGTATAATAAATATAAAGATAGATTCAAATTTGTTGTTTAAGATGATGGATACAGGATAAAGGAGATTATAATTGTAAATGGTGACAATATTCTAAGGTATAATGCATCAACTCTCATCAGATAGTTACGTTTATTCATGCTAGAAACATTTCAAAATAAAACACGCAATGGAATAAGACGAAACACGTTTTTTATGAATCATGTTTATATAAATAGACCGTGAACATGTGATTCACTTGTACTAAAAAAAAAATCTTTATACTTTCAGAATTCCACAGACGTCCTGTTATTGCTGATATTGCGCGATGTATTTTGTGTTGCTATGAATAAAACTGTATTTACATAAAACTACTTTCGTTTTATTTGTAACTTTTTTATAGAAGTTATTTCTGCGTCAGATACTCTATTTCATTACAGCATTGGAAGTAGCATAGGTGCTTAGTTTGTACAAACTTAAAGTGAAATAGGTAAAAGTTTAAACGACAGCAAAATCACACCGGGACTAAAATCAGGACAGCTTGGAACTAATAAATAAAAAGGGGAATGGATAAAAATAACAAAACAAAAGCAAACCTATCGTACATCATAAACTCTAACAAGAGAGCAGAGGTGAAAACCTGGGCCCGTTTTGGCGAAACTACCACCATATTTTGATGATTACTTATTCAAATTTCACATAATTGTAATTAAATGAAAAGTACTATGGACAGATTTAAACTAAACAAAATACCAAGACTGTTTTTGTTGAATGGTTTTAGCGAATTACAAGACACGTGGTTAGAGATCAGATAAGAACCTATTGAAAAAATGACTTCGTTGAATACAAACGAATGTATATGTTTATCATAATGTATTTGCAAGCAAATGGTTTGAACAAGTAAATGACTTAAAATACTAAATATGAAAAGAAAACCTTTGTTGAAAATAATGAACCTCGGTATTTCAAATACAAGATTAACCTTAATCATACACATGAGACTGCAACCTAACGATTTGGTTATAGATACAGCATGCCAGAAATAAATATCTGCACCATACAGATAGTCAAAATTTCTGTTGAAACAGAAGGAAATGTACATATAATCCCTTTATTATGCGAATTTCAAACATCAGGGCAGTACTTATTACATACAGCTGTTTCGTCCTTCTAGGACTCAACCAAACTACTATATTTCTCTCATAACAAAGAATGTCAATTAAAATTACACCGCTGAAACAAAATCCTCTCTCATAACACGGAATGTCAATTACTATTACACCACTGACACAAAATCACTAGAAAACGAAGTAAACAAATACCAAATAAGAAAACAATAATTATGGCTATTTTGTAAATTAAGGATTCATCAGTGAAATAGACAATGAGATGAAAACTCTAAACTGTGAACAATTATATATAAAAAAAAAAACAATTAAAGTCATCAACATACATTGTCTGTTGCATAAGATGACTTAGATTCAGTTATATTTTTCATTACATTTTACTTCAATATGATAACGATGTCCATAGCTACAAAACCAGACACCCTGAACACTCATGCATAACAGCTATTCTTTGTGAAAAAACACATCCGTGAATACAGTTCTTTCGTCTGCTATGAAAATGGAATTAATGTTAGAAATAATTCTTTAATATCACATATAAAAGCTTTTGTTAAATCAACCAGAAAATCATGTCTGCCGTTACATTACTTTCTAGGATAGCGATAGGATCTAAGTCATCATGTGACTGCTAGATCCATGCAGTTCTCAACATGAAGGAAAACACCGTACCATCCCCGCACTTCTCCTTTCGTGTTCTGGAAAGCTCCGCACAAAAGCAAATATATAGTTTTTAGACAGCTTCATAATTCAGTATATTCCATTAAGATAACACTGAAAGATCGTCCTTGCTTTCAAAGATCATACACTAACAAGATATCCCAGAGGGTTCTTGGCGCCCACCATTGTACCATCTTCATTAGTTCTTTGTCAGTTCGATCTTTTCTCTTCTTTCCTCTAATCTGTTTGATCGAGTCATGTTAACAGTAAATGCACCTTGAGGTAACTTTTGATCTAAACTTAATACTGATGTGTATGAAAGCCAACCTTCAAAGTGAGTTTGTCATTTCACATATTTACTAGTACAGTACTTTATGTGAAAGAAATAGAATCGATCATTGCATTATGAGAAAGATCTGTTTAGTTCTGCCTTTAGCCATTTTGTTTTTATGATCAGTCTCAAAATATTTGAATAGCCTATGAGCTAAAAAGTAATAAAAACTAAAAGTTTGATACTTAATGAATAGCCGTTACAACTTATAAGATTTACATAATTGTGTTTGTATCCGTTTTACTAGATTACTCTAAAATTTGTTTGGATTTATGTGCTTGTTCGTGAAGTTACAGCCACTGTAGCTGTACATTTTATGACGAACTGCCAACGAGTAAGATTTATTGGTTCTTACGACTGTTACCTACGATAGCTTGATGTTCCAGGAACGAGGTGGGAATGTGCATTGATTGAAAAGAAAGATGTGTACCGCACTTTTGAAATAATTTATCGACAGGTTTTACAGTGGTAGTATTTAACACAGTGTGGTTAATTTCTTGTTGCAGTTATAAATTCATAAACAAATCTTATTTTGCCAAAGTTTTGGAAAAGATTTGAAGAGACTTGAACCTGAACACTGTTTACATTTGGCATTTTGATCGTTTGGCATGATTTAAGTGAGTAACAAGAATGTTGGTTTGAGCACAGAATCCATGCTAGAGCATGTGAACGGTTTCATGAATACGGGCCAAGAGGAGAAAACTTTGGCCCGTTTTAGGGAAAGTGTCTCTATGTACTGACTCAGAGTCTGTTCTCCAGTACAATTTCGTGTTTCCATGATATTCTTTCAAATTTCATGTAATTTAAATGATTCGAAAATTACTTTGGAAAGATTTTATTCCAAAGTCTCGTTTCATTCCTTGTCTAGACTTTTTTTAGAGATCAGAATGTAGGCTTTATAACAGATGCCTTCGTTAAATACAGACGGATTTATTCCAAAAAGACTGTCCTTCATGTTTATTCCGTCAAAGTCAGAAAAGTACGTGGGTAACTGATGATCTGAGTTTATTATAATGTATTAACAAATAGCATGAACGAGTAAAAGAACAATAATAAGAAAAAACAAATATGTAAAAAAAAAAAAAAATGGAATTTCTTCGTTTAAAATAGTGACCTCTTGTACCTCGGTATATCACTTGGAAATTGAACTTTAGACATACACATGGGATAGCAACTTTAAGATTTCGTTTTAGATACACCTTGCTAAATATGACTTGTACTGTGCCATACAGCTTTTGCGTTGTTCTAGGACTGATCGGTGATGCTAGTGACCGAAAAAATGGTAACCTAAATTAATCTTAATAACCGTTGAAACAGAAGGAGGGGTGCATAAAACCCCTTAATGATGTGAATTTCAAACAATAGAGCAGTACTGATCAATTTAATATAAATAAGAGTGTGCCACTTCTCAAAGGGAGATAACTGTGGTCATCACGGATACGGCAAACCTCGAGGACTAAAACATCCACCAACAGATTATATCATCTTTTATCTTGAAAAATAGACCACAGACACATACATGGGACTGCACCTTTCACCTGTTGTAATAGATACACCATGCCAACAATGAATTACACTGCACCATACAGATGTTTTCCTTCTAGGACTCAATAAAACTATTATAATCCTCTATCATACCAAAAAATGTCAAGCACAACTAAACCGCTGAAATAACCCCCTCTTTCATCACACCGATGATCAATTATTCTAAAAAAAATCATCACTAGAAAACGAAGTAAACAAATGCCCAAATAAGAATGTCGACGCCAGAAGCCTATTGAATTAAGCATTTATTACATAATATGGGCATTGTGTCAGTTTAAGATTATTCAGTCGAATTGACAAAATAATAATAAAACTTAAAATAGTTAACAAACAAATGTAAGCAAAGGCAAACTTGGGGAGGTACCATTAAAGACCTACTCAATGTTATCAATTGCTATCAATTCAGTTATATTTTTTATTATGTTTTATCTCAAAATAATAATGGTGTTCAAAGTAACAAACCCAGACATACCAATCCCTCATGTGTAACATCTATTCTTTGTGAAACAAAAACATACGTTAATGCAATTCACACATCTACTATAGGATAAAAGTCATTGCCTGAGACTGCGAAAGCCTTACAGTTCTCTAAATAAACATATATTGAAGAAAATTACCCAACCGTCCAAGAACTGCTCCAGTGGTGTAGTATTATTTTCTACAATAAAGCAAAACTGAAACACTTAGACAGCTTCATAATTCAGTATAATCTATTAGGATAACACTGAAAGATAGTCCTTGCTTTCAAAGATTACATACTAAAAAGTACTAAAAACTTAAAGATTCATACTTAATGAATAGCTATAACAACTTATAAGATTTACATAATTGTGTTTGTATACGTTTGTCAAGATTTTTAAGTGGTTTGAATATATGTGCTTGTTCGTGAAGTTACCGCTATTGTAGTTGTACATTTTATGACGAACAATCGAATATGATTGATTGATTCTTACGACTGTTACCTACGAAGAGCTTGATGTTCAAGGAACGAGGCGGGAATGTGCATTGATTGAAAAGAAGGGTTGCTTATTTTTGTACCGCACTGTTATAATAAGTTGTCGACAGGTTTTACAGTGGTAGTATATAACACTGTGTGGTAGTTATTTGGAAATAGCAAATATAATTTGTATGTTTGGATAATTGACCATGGTCATTAACAAAACTTAGAATTATTTAATATTGTTTGTAACATGTTTTTGCATCGATTTGTGTTTACAGTATGACAAGTGCTAGACCAACAAATTAAAAACATATTTTGACATATGACACGAAATGTTGTTTTTGTTTTACAAATAAGTTGTCATCTGTCATACTTGAATATTCCTCTGCAACCACGCCTTTTGATATTGATAATTCGAGCATTATGATTATACTCGACTTAAGAACAGATAGCATGGAAATATTCCCGACGACTAGCAAGGATCTATTAATGGATTATTTGAGTGAGTGGATGAAATGAGCATGTTGAAACCTCCTCCTCAACTAGATCGGCGAATTATAGCACGCGCAAATGGTTATTAAAATTACTTTATTTGTTGTAAATGAAAATGACACACATTTTGCAAAAAAAAAAAAAAAATCTTTCCAATTTTTTAATGAAATCATAAGGAATGGGCTAAATGATGAATCGGTGTACTTCGGTGTTCGGTTTATAACCCGATCAGAAATCTGATTTTATATTCTATAATGCTGCTCATCAATTATCAATATG